AGCTACTAGCTGTGAAGAATCCTGGAGTTGCACAGGACATTACTTTTATTAATACTTACAATGTTTCATTTAGTTCCAGCAAGCAGCTTTTCTGGTACTCAATCATAAACAAACAGCAACACACACACACACACACACACACGCACACACACGCACACAGCAACATTGTAAGCTATTTGATGTATCTAGTTTCACAGGTAATCAGTCTCATCTCCAAATTAACCTGTCTAGTTTTTCTTGTCATCATGGTAATATAAAAAACTTGAGTTTTTCAGGTGTCTGTGGTGAAAGTACACACCACATTATTTTTAATTATCTGGAGCCCTCTAGCCAGCTGGAATTATTTAAATGTAGTCGTTTGCATCCAGTCATTGCTTTACAACACAGATATCCACAATATCTACAACAAGCAGTTGTTGTGGATTTTTTTATATTTATACACGAAGTAGGTCTTCTTGCTGAGAAACATTAAGTTACCCTGCCCCCATGGCTCCCTGGTGGAGAAGACCTTTTAGTTTGCAATTAGTGGTAGGCAGTTAACAGCTGCCTACTTGGTATATTTTTGAGTTATAAGTAAATACAGAACACCTGTTTATTAATAAGAATCACCTGTTTGGCCGGGCGCAGCAGCTCACGCCTGTAATCCCAGCACTTTGGGAGGCCAAGGCGGGTGGATCACGCGGTCAAGAGATCAAGACCATCCTGGTCAACATGGTGAAACCCCGTCTCTACTAAAAATACAAAAAATTAGCTGGGCATGGTGGCGCGTGCCTGTAATCCCAGCTACTCAGGAAGCTGAGGCAGGAGAATTACCTGAACCCAGGAAGCGGAGGTTGCAGTGAGCTAAGATCGCGCCATTGCACTCCAGCCTGGGTAACAAGAGCAAAACTCCATCTCAAAAAAAAAAAAAAAAAAAAAAAAAAGAGAATCACCTGTTTAAGAGAGACTAAGTACGTGGATGAGTATCTGCTCAGGGCCTTCAGCCTGGAATGCTGTCAGCCCCTGAGGCTTTCAGGCTGAGGGCCTCCAGGACAGATCCACACTGCTGTTCTGAGTGTCTGCCTCTCATTACCTTCAGCGCCTACTGGGTGGGGGTCTCCCGACCAAGCTGGTACTCGGTATCTTCGGAGTTACTTCTTTTTTTCTTCTTTCTTTTCCGCCCTTCTTTCTTCCTCTCTTTCTTTCATTATCTTCAATTTTGAGGGAAGCTTTATTTTTCAGTAAAGAGATCTTGCCCGATACCTCACATCTTTCATTTAGCCTGTTCTCTAGCACTACCCTTCTCCCAGCTGGCTGAGCAGCACAATCCTTTTCTGAACGCAAGAATTTCTTGACTTACCCTGACAGTAGCATTCAAGAACAGGTGAGCCTAACCTCTTGCAGTCTGTTTACCTTTCCTTTAAAATGAAAAGAATGTCCCTTTTTTTTCCTTTTTTTGCCTTTTTATTTTTATCAGATTTGCCATAATTTGTAGTTATGGTAGATTAGTCACCATCTGTCCAAGATGCAATGCTGTTTGCTATAATCTATGGAACCTATCATAGGGGTGCAAGATAGTTCAACATATGCAAATCAGTAAATGTCATACATCACAACAACAGAATGAAGGAAAAATCCTATCATCTCAATAGATGCAGAAAAAATATTTGACAAAATTCAACATTCTTTCATGATAAAAAATAAATTTGTTTTTTCATAACAAATTAGGTATAGTCTGGGTGCAGTGGTTCATTCCTGTAATCCTAGCACTTTGGGAAGCCAAGATGGATGGATCACTTGAGTTCAGGAGTTCAAGACCAGCATGGGCAACATGATGAAACCCCATCTCTAAAAAAATTACAAAAATGAGCCAGGTGTGGTGGCACATGCCTGTGGTGGCACATGCTCAGCTACTTGGAAAGCTGAGGTGGGAGGATCACTTTTGCCTTGGAGGTTGGGGCTGCAGTGAGCCAAGATCATGCCACTGTACTCCAGCCTGGGCAGCAAAAAAAAAAAAAAAAAAACTATAGAATGAATGTACCTTATAAAATAAAGCCCATATTTGACAGATCTACAGGTAACAACTGGTGAAATTCTAAAATGTTTTCCTTGAAGATTAGAAACAAGACAAGTATGTACATTCCTGTTACTTCTATTTATCAAAATACCGGAAATCCTAGCCAGTTCAATTGGCAATAAAAAAATAAAAGGCACCCAAATCAGAAAGAAAGAAGTAAAATTATCTGTCTGCAGATTGCATTATTTTATATTTAGAAAACCCTAAAGATTTCTCCAAAAAACTATTAGAATAAATAAATTTAGTAAAGTTGCAGGATACAAAATTAACATGCAAAAATAGGTTGCATTTTAAATACTATCAACAAACTATCAGAAACAAAAATTAGGAAAACAATCTTATTTAAATAGCTTCAAAATATTAAAATATCTAAAAATACCATGAGAGAACATAAATCAGAAGATAAAAAAATTTAAAAATAAAGTATCTAGGAATAAATTCAGCCAAGTAGGTTGAGGATCTGTACACTGAAAAACAAGAAAATATTGATAAAAAAAACTGGATCAGGAAGCTGAGCAAGATTGCCAAACAGAGCCCTTCAATGATCATACCCCATGCCCCGCAGGAACACCAAAATGGACACCTACACACTCACACACACACACGCACACACGCACACACACAAACGCCTTCATAAGAACCAAAAACCAGGTGAGCAATCACAGTGCATGGTTTTAATATCATATCAAGGACAGAGGCAGTGAAGAGGGTAGGAAAGACAGTCTTGAATTGCCTACACCACACTACCCCCATTACCGGCAGCATTGATACCCCCATACCGGCAGCATCAAGTGGTATGTGGAGAGAGAATCTATGTACTTGGGAGAGGGAGGGCAAAGTGATCATGGAACTTTGCACTGGAATGCTGTCACAGCAGAAAGCAACACAGGACACAGTTTGGCCAGCACTCACAGACAGAGCATTTAGACCAGCCCTAGCCAGAGGAGAATTGTCCATTCCAGGGGTCAGAACCTGGAGAGACCCACTAGGTTCTGGATAGACCCACCTCCATGGGATAAAGTACTCTGGGGTCCTAAATAAACTTGAAAGGCAGTCTAGGCCACAAGGACTGAAATTCCTGGGTAAGTCCCTGTGCTGTGCTGGGCTCAGAGCCAGTGGACTTGCTTCAGGTGTATGTGACCCAGTGAGACATCAGCTGGAGTGGCCAAGGCAGTGGAGTGCATCACTCCTCCCCCAACTCCAGGCAGTGCAGTTCACAGCTCTGGGAGAAAAAGGAGTAAAGAGGACTTTGTCTTGCAACTTGATTACCAACTCAGCCACAGTAAAATAAAGCACCAAGCAGTGTCCTGAAGCCCCAATTCTAGGCCACAGCTTCCAGATGAAATTTCTAGACTCCTGGGCCAGAAGGGAACCCACTGTCCTCAAGGAAAGAACCCAGTCCTTGCAGAATTTACCCCCTGCTAACTAAAGAGTCCTGGGGCCCTGAAGAAACATCAGTGGTAGCCAGGCAGTAAGTACCATGGGTTTTGAATGAGACCCAGAACATTGCTGGTTTCACATGCAACCCAGCATATGCCCAGCTGTGGCAGCCACAGGGAGGGACTCCTTCTCCTTGAGGGAATGAGAGGGAAAAGTAAAAAGGACTTTGTCTTGTAACTTGGGTATCAGCTCAGTCTCAGTAAAATAAAGCACCAAGCAGATTCATAAAATCCCCAATCCCTGGCCCCATCCCTCAGGGATGGCATTTCTCGACACACCCTGAGACAGAAGAGAAACTGCTGCACTGAAGAGAAAAATTCAGTCCAATTCAGTCCTGGCCAGGATTCATCCCCTGCTGACTACAGAGCCCTTGGGCATTGAATAAACATCAGTGGTAGCCAGGAAATGGTCACCAGAGGCCTTAGGTGTGACCCAGCACAATCCCAGCGGTGACGGCCAGGGGAGTGCTTGTGTCATCCCTTCCTCAATTCCAGGTACCTCAGCATGGATAGAGAGACTAGGTCTGTTTGGGAAAAACAGAGAGAAAATATGGAAAGAGAACAAGAGACTCTGGTAATCCAGGGAATTCTCTCGGATTTTATCCAAGACCACTAAGGAGGTACCTTTATGGGTCCACAAGTCACAGAATTACTGAGCTTGGGGTTCCCTCTACTGAGTATTTGGCTTCAGTGACCAAAGACTTTGATTACAACACTCAATTCCCTTTGAACACTTAAAAAGGCTTCTCAAGAAAAACAGGTACAAACCAGTGCAGACTAAAAAAAATTAGAATAAACACCTCTTTAATGCCCAGACACTGACAAATAACCACAGCAGCAAGACCACCAGGAAAAACATGACCTCACAAAACAAACTAAATAAGGCATTAGTGACCAACTCCAGAGTTACAGAGATATGTGACCTTTCACATAGAGAATTCAAAATAGTTGTTTTAAGAAATCTCAGGCCAGGCGCTATGGCTCTCACCTGTAATCCCAGCATGTTGGAATGTTGAGGTGGGTGAATCACAAGGTCAGGAGTTTGAGATCAGCCCTGCCAACATGATGAAACCCTGTCTCTACTAAAAATACAAAAGTCAGCCTAGTGTGGTGGTGGGCGCCTGTAATCCCAGCTACTCAGGAGGCTGAGGCAGGAGAATAGCTTGAACCTGGGAGGCCGAGGTTGCAGTGAGCCAAGACTGTGCCATTGCACTCCAGCCTGGATGACAGAGTGAGACTCCTTCTCAAAAGAAAAAAAAAAAGAGAAAGAAAATGAGATTCAAGATAATACAGAGAAGGAATGCAGAATCCTGTTAGATACATTTAACAAAAAGATTGAAGTAATTTTTAAAAATCAAGCGGAGATTCTGGAGCTGAAAAATTTAGTCAGCTTGAAGACAGGATATTTTAAAATACACAGAAGAGTCAAAAGAAAAAATAATAAAAATAGTGAATTTTATAAAACAGCTTTGAAACGGCAAATCTGGGGGCTAAGCTGTGCCTACGTCGGCCTCGACTCCCGGGGGCTGGAGGAGTTACCTTTGGAGCCCGAAAGGAGGAAGGAAGCAAAATATCAACAACAGCCGAGTTGGCTGGGGCGCTAGGTCCGGGTTCCCAGCTTGTCAGCCGCCGCTGCTGGCCCCGCGCCCACGACAGGGGCCCAGGCCCCCCAGCGCCGCCCAGGGCCCGCGCGGACGCCGGCCTCATTATTATTCCCCCCGCCCGGAGCTGCGGCTTCCCGGTGTTGAAGATCCCCGGACCAGGGGCGAGGGCTGCCTGCTCTTTGCCGTGACAACCCCTTTCCCCGAGTCGGGTTGGAGGCTGTGCAGAAGGTATCCTGCAGACCACGAACTGAGCACTGTTCCCAGACCGTTCATGAGCACAGTGTAAGGTGTGCCAAGACCCACCACCCAGCAAGCCCCTCCCCTCCGTAGCACTGAGGACCCCCGGAAAAGATGGGGAGGAAAAAGAGTCAGATCCAGGGAATCACCGATGAGCGGAGCCGACAGGTGACTTTCACCAAGCGGAAGTTCGGCCTGATGAAGAAGGCGTATGAGCTGAGCGTGCGGTGCGACTGCGAGATCGCACTCATCATCTTCAACCGCGCCAACAAGCTGTCCCAGTACGCCAGCACCGACATGGACAAGGTGCTGCTCAAGTACGCGGAGTACAACCAGCCGCACGAGAGCCGCACCAACGCGGACATCATCGAGACCCTGAGGAAGAAGGGCTTCAACGGCTGCGACAGCCCGGAGCCCGACGGGGAGGACTCGCTGGAACAGAGCCACCTGCTGGAGGGCAAGTACCGGCGCGCCAGCGAGGAGCTCGACGAGCTCTTCCGGCGCTGTGGGTCCGCTCTCCCGGCCCCCAACTTTGCCACGCCTGTCACGGTGCCCGTGTCCAATCAGAGCTCACTGCAGTTCAGCAATCCCAGCTGCTCCCTGGTCACCCCTTCCCTGGTGACGTCATCCCTCACAGACCCGCGGCTCCTGTCCCCCCAGCAGCCAGCACTACAGAGGAACAGTGTGTCTCCTGGCCTGCCCCAGCGGCCAGCTAGTGCAGGGGCCATGCTTGGGGTGACCTGAACAGTGCTAACAGAGCCTGCCACAGCCCTGTTGGCTACGTCACTGCCCGGGCTTCCCCTGGCCTCCTCCCTGTGGCCAATGGCAACAGCCGAAACAAGGTCATCCCTGCCAAGTCTCCACCCCCGCCCACCCACAGCACCCAGATTGGAGCCCCCAGCCAAGCCCGACCTGCGAGTCATCACTTCCCAGGCAGGAAAGGGGTTAATGCATCACTTGAAAAATGCCCAGCGCCTTGCAGTCTCCCAGTCTCCACATTCGCTCATCACCCCAGTGGTTTCTGTGGCAACGCCGAGTATACTCAGCCAGGGCCTCCCCTTCTCTTCCATGCCCACTGCCTGCAACACAGATTACCAGCTGACCAGTGCAGAGCTCTCCTCCTTACCAGCCTTCAGTTCGCCTGGGGGGCTGTGGCTAGGCAATGTCACAGCCTGGCAGCAGCCACAATAGCCCCAGCAGCCGCAGAAGCCACAGCAGCCACAACAGCCACAGCAGCTGCAGCAGCCACATCCTCCACAGCAGCAGCGGCCGCAGCCACAGCCACAGCAGCCTCAGCAGCCGCAACAGCCACCTCAGCCACAGTCCCACCTGGTCCCTGTATCGCTCAGCAACCTCATCCCGGGCAGCCCCCTGCCCCACGTGGGTGCTGCTCTCACAATCACCCCCCACCCCCCACATCAGCATCAAGTCAGAACCGGTGTCCCCAAGCCATGACCGTGGCCCTGCGCCTCCCCCTCCAGCTGTGTTCCCAGCTGCCCGCCCTGAGCCTGGCGATGGTCTCAGCAGCCCGGCCGGGGGATCTTATGAGACTGGGGACCGGGATGACGGACGGGGGGGGGGCGGGGGGGGGGACTTCGGGCCCACACTGGGCCTGCTGCGCCCAGCCGCAGAGCCTGAGGCTGAGGGCTCAGCTGTGAAGAGGATGCGGCTCAATACCTGGACATTAAAGTGAGGGTTCCCACTCCCCTCCTCCCAGCCTCCCTGATGAAGAGTTGACAATCTCACCACCAGCCCTTCCCTGCCCCGGGCTCCTCCCGCTCGACCCCCACCTCCTTTCTTGTGCTCCATGTCCTGTTGATGGTTACATTTGTGTATAATTATTATTATTATATTTTTTTAAATTTGGATTCTCGATTTGGAGAGGGGGATGCTCTCATCCCCTCTTTCTGTCCCCCCCACCACCATTTTCACTGGCTGGGGGGACACTTTGCACGTTGTACACATATGCTGCAGGAAGGGGGTGTGGGGCCCAATAGGCCTTTGGGAAAGGACAGGTGCCGAGCCCTGCCTGTGGAGCCCTCCCACCCCACCACCCAGATAGAGGGAAATAACCAAAAAACTACTAAACAAAAAAAAAAAAAACCCACACCATAGACTGAAACCCCAAAGTGGGTTTGACAGGTGGGTTTGTGTCTCAAGGGGAAAGTGAGGCAGAATTTCTGAAAAGGGTCTCTGTTTCTGGGTTCATGTGGCCATTGGCACATGGAGCAGAATACTGAAGCCTGGCCCCAAAATGCCCTGCACACACATGCCACACCTGTGCTGATTCTTGTGTGTGCTGCACCCCCAAGGTGTGTGGGTGCTGGCTGAGCTTTGGGCTGGGAAGGCAGCCTGGGGAATCTGAGGCTTGGGACAGGTTCGAGGTGAGGGCCTCTCTGGAAGCACATTTGGAGAGAAAGACAGAGCCATGAGGAGAGGGCTGCAGAGGGCGGAAGGGCTAGGCAGGGTGCAAATCGAGCCCCTCCCTTCCCCAGCTTTTCTCTAAGATATACAGTGCAATAGCTTCCTGCCCCTCGGTTGATGCCAGCCCTGTAAAGCTGGCCACAATGTGCAGGGAGAATGGGGAGAGGGTCTTCAGTGAGGTGGCTCTGGGCGAGAATCGGCCTGGACCTCTCTGGGGTGATCCAGGCCAGAGCTCTTCCATCGGGGCAAGTGTGGTGAGGGGATGTCCTTGGCCTTGCATGCACACTACCTGGGGGAGCAGACACTGGGATCGTCTGTGGGGTGGGAGGTCCATAGAGGGCCCACCTCCCTCATTCCACCTGGGCCTCTCCCTAGCTTCTCCTGTTAGCTCCTTCTGCTCCTGACCCCACCTCCTTGCTCTTGGTGCACCCATTGTCTCTCGCCACCTCCTTGTCCCACCACCTCCAGGCCGCATCCCACCTTCCCTCTTGGCTACTGTAATTGTAAATAGCGACTTTGGAAAATGTTAGCGGTGTAACAGTCCAGGAAACTGTTTTTTGTTGTTGTATTGATGTGAAATGAGATTCTATTTTTGTCAAAGTATATTTTAATAATAATGACTCAATTGGCCAAAAAAAAAAGAAAGAAAAAGAAAAGGCAAATCTGTTACTGGCCTTAAAGTGGAGGTAGAGAGGAAGATCAGAGTAGAAAGTTCATTCAAGGAGATAATAACAGGTAACTTCCCAAACCCAGAGAAAGAGATCAATATTCAAGTATAAGAAAGTCTCAGAACGCCAAGCAGATTTAACCCTGATAAGACCATCTGAAGATATTTAATAATCAGACTTCCAAATGTCAAAGATAAAGAAAGCATCCTAAAAGCAGCAAGATACAAGAAAAAGGTAACACAAAAAGGATTTCTCAGTGGAAACCTTCCAGGCCAAGAGAGAATGGCATTACATATTTAAAGTGCTGAAGGAAAAACTTTTATTCTAGAATATTACATTCAGTGAAAATATCCTTCGAACATGGAGAAATAAAGACTTTCCAGACAAACAAAATCTTAGAGATTTTATCAACACCAGACTTGTCCTATAGGAAATGTCAAAGGGAGTTCTTCAATCTGAAAAAGAAAGGACGTTAACAAGCAATAAGAAATCATCTGAAGGGGCCAGGCATGGTGGCTCAGGTCTGTAATCCCAGCACTTTGGGAGGCCGAGTCAGGTGGATCATGAGGTCAGGTGTTCAAGACCAGCCTGTCCAACATAGTGAAACTCCATCTCTACTAAAAATACAAAAATTAGCTGGGCATGGTGACGTGCACCTGTAGTCCCAGCTACTCGGGAGGCTGAGGCAGGGGAATCGCTTAAACCGGGGAGGCTCCTATAAAGATGCACATAGATAAAAATAAAGGGATGGAAAAAGATACTTCATGCAAATGAAATTCCATGCAAATTGAAAAGGACAGAAGTAGCTATACTTATATAGATAAAGTAAAGTTCAAGATAAAAGTGATAAAAAGAGACAAAGAAGGTCATTATATAATAATTAGGAATTGATTCAGCCAGAGGATGTACCGATTATAAATATACCTACACCCATCCCTGGAGAACTGAAATATATAAAGCAAATATTATGAGAGCTAAAGAGAGAGATAGACCCCAGTGCAATGGAATAATAGTTGGAGACTTTAACATTCCACTTTCAGCATTGAGCAGATCATCCAGAAAGAAAATCAACAAAGAAACATCAGACTTAATCTGGACTATAGACCAAATGGATCTAACAGATATTTACAGGATAACTCATCAAATGCCAAAGAAGACATATTCTTTTCCTCAGAACATGGATTATTCTCAAAGATACACCATGTGTTAGACCACAAAACAAGTCATAAACATTTCCAAAAAAATGAAAATTATATTAAGTATCTTATCTGACAAAAAAGAAATAAAATTAAAAATAATGAGAGGGCCAGGCGCAGTGGCTCAAGCCTGTAATCCCAGCACTTTGGGAGGCTGAGGCGGGTGGATCACGAGGTCAAGAGATCAAGACCATCTTGGTCAACATGGTGAAACCCCGTCTCTACTTAAAAAAAAAAAAAAAATACAAAAAATTAACTGGGCATGGTGGCATGTGCCTGTAATCCCAGCTACTGAGGAGGTTGAGGCAGGAGAATTGCCTGAACCCAGGAAGTGGAGGTTGTGGTGAGCCAAGATCACGCCATTGCACTCCAGCCTGGGTAACAAGAGCAAAACTCCGTCTCAAAAAAAAAAAATAAATAAAAATAAATAAATAAATAACAAGAGGAACTTTGAAAACTGTACAAACACATGGAAATTAAACATATGGCCGGGCACGGTGGCTCACGCCTGTAATCCCAGCACTTTGGGAGGCCAAGGCGGGTGGATCACGAAGTCAAGAGATCGAGACCATCCTGGTCAACATGGTGAAACCCCGTCTCTACTAAAAATACAAAAAATTAGCTGGGCACGGTGGTGCGTGCCTGTAATCCCAGCTACTCAGGAGGCTGAGGCAGGAGAATTGCCTGAACCCAGAAGGCGGAGGTTGTGGTGAGCCGAGATGGCGCCATTGCACTCCAGCCTGGGTAACAAGAGCGAAACTCTGTCTCAAAAAAACAAAAAAAAACCAATATGACCTGTATGACCAATGGACCATTGAAGAAATTAAGAAAGAACATTAAAAATTCCTTGAAACATGAAAATGGAAACACACGCCAAAACGTGGATATGGCAAAAGCAGTAATAAGAGAAAAGTTTATGGCAGTAAGCGCCTACATCACAAAAGTGGAAAAACCTCAAATAGACAACCTAAGGATGGATCTTAAAGAACTAGAAAAGTAAGAGCAACCAAACCTAAAATTTGTAGAAAAAGAAATAATAAGGAACAGAGCAGAAATAAATTGAAATTTAAAAATACAAAAGATAAAATGAAATGTGGGTTTTCTAAAAAAAAATAAACAAAAGCAACAAACATTTAACCAGACTGAGAAAAAAGAGAGAAGACCCAAATAAATAAAATCAGAGATGAAAAAGGAGACATTACGACCAGTATTCAGAAATACAGGTACAACAGAAATTCAAAAGATCATTAGAGACTATGGACAACCATATGCCAATAAATTGGAAAGCCTAGAGGACTGGATAAATTCCTAGATACATACAAGCTACCAAATTCAACCATGAAGAAACTCAAAACCTGAATAGACCAACACCAAATAAAAAGATTGGAAACCATAATAAAAAGCCTCACATTAAATAAAAGCCTAGGACCCAGTGGCTTCACTGCTGGATTCTACTAAACATTTAAAGAATTAATATCAATCCCACTCAAACTATTCCAAAAAATAAATAAATAAAGAGGAGGAGAGAATTCTGCCAAAATGTACGCTACAAGGCAAGTATTGCCCTGATATCAAAACCAGACAAAGACTATATTAAAAAAAGGAAACTACAGGCCAATATCTCTGATGAACGTCGATGTAAAAATTCTCAACACAATCATAGCAACCCAAATTCAACAACACATTAAAAAAAATTATTCATCATGACCAAGTGGGATTCATCCAGGAATAAAGAATGGTTCAGCATATGTAAATTGATTAACGTGATACATTATATTAACAAAATGAAGAACAAAAACCATAGGATGTCAGGTGATAGTGAAAAATCATTTAATAAAATTTAATATCCCTTTACAATAAAAATTCTCAAAAAACTGAGTCTAGAGGGAACATACCTTAACACAATAAAAGGCATATACGACAGACCCACAGCTAGTATACTGTACAGTGAAAAACCAGAAGCCTTTCCTCTAGGATCTGGAAAATGACAAGAACGTCCACCTTCACCACTGTTATTCAACATAATACTGGAAGTCTCTAGTTAGGACTTCAATTTTGGAATATCAGAGAAAGAAATTAAAGGCACCCAAATTGGAGAAGAAGTCAACTTATCCTTATTTGCAGATGATATGATTTCATATTTGGAAAAATCTAAAGACTCCACAAAAAAAAACTATTAGAACTGATAAATAAATTCAGTAAAGTTGTAGGACACAAAACTAACACACAAAAATCAGTACCATTTCTATGTGTCAATAGTGAACACTCGGAAAAAGAAATCAAGAAATTAACCCCTTTACAATAGCAGTAAATATAACAAAATGCCTAGAAATAAACTTAACCAAAGAAGTAAAAGGATCTCTATAATGAAAACTATAAAACACTGATGCAAGAAAGTGAAGAGGAAACACACACAAAAAAATGAAATGACATTTTGTGTTCATAGATTAGGATAATCAATATTATTAAAATGTCTACACTACCCAAAGCAATCTACAGATTCAAAGCAATCTACAGATTCAATGCAATCCCCATCAAAATATCAGTGATATTCTTCATAGAAATAGGAAAAATAATTCTAGAATCATATGGAACCACAAAAGACCCAGAAGAGCAAAAGCCACCCTGAACCAAAAAAAAAAAACAAATAAATAAAACTGGAAGAATCACGTTGCCTGACTTCAAATTATACTAATGAGCTATAGTAACCAAAACAGGATTAGACTGGCATAAAAATACACATATAAACCAATGTAACAACAGAATAGAGAATGCAAAAATAAATCCTC